AGAACCAACAGATCTGTGTTGGAAGATGTGCAGCTAGAGTGCTGCTTGGAGGCCAGGATAGTGAACTTTGTCTCTCATATTTTAGACATATTGTCAGGAAGGACCAGTCACTGGACAAGAATATCATGTTTGGTAAGGAAGGTGGAGGGTCAGAGAGAAAGAGGATGGATTGGCAAAGTGGCAGCATCAATGGGCTCAAACGTGGCAACAATTGCGAGGTTGGCCCAGGATCGGGCAGTGTTTCGTTCTGTTGTGCATAAGGTCACTATGCATCGGTACCAATTTGATGGCACCTAACAATACCAACAACTCCCCACATAAATATCTCAGCAGAAGGAAGTTCAATTTAGTTATTGAAAGCTTTAAAAAATAGCAATTACTTCTTTTCATGAGTAAAGTGTGTGTGACCATCAGCCAATACTAGTAATTCATACTAAATTATGAAATACTGAACTAATTCTGACTGAATACTAAACCCCAAGCAAACTCATTGCCATCAAGTTGAAACCAACTCACAGTGCCTCTCTAAGACAGAACTGCACCACAGGGTTCACAAGGCTTCAAATCTTTATGGAAACAGACTACTCCATCTTTCTCATGTGGAGCAGCTGGTGGGTTTGAACCATCGATCTGTCAATTAGCAGTTGATCGCTTAGTCACTGTGCCACCAGGCCTCCTTATGAATACTAAATAAATACTAAATATTAATACTAAATAGTAAACAATACTAAATTCTAAACTAACTGTGGTTACAGTTAATAGGTTACTGCTTAATGCTATGTTTTAATGGAGATCTCAAGGACTCACCTCACAAATTTTAGCCTACAATGGAATTACCTGCCCTTTCTACCTGCCCTGCAACATTCATCAGAAATTAGACAATAAAATGAGGCTATTATATTCGGAAAACCATAGTCTGTAGAGGAAAAAATTGGAAGATTAAAAGCTGGAGGACAAAGTTCTACCTTAACTCAGTAAGTTTGAACGTAGATTTTTGTCTATTACATAGTTACTTATGAGTTAGAAATTGTGACCTTGAAGAAGGGCATGGGACAGCTAAATTTTGACCTTACAGAAGAGGGAAGTTCAGTAAGAATGAGAGCTTGCTGTGGGGTGTGAGGACCCACGGGCTTTGTAGTTGTGAGGTAGGGAGGGAAGAATTTGGATACTGTTTTACAATGTTGCCTACAGCCAATGTGGCTGTTAAAAATAAGGATCTCTTATGTATTGTTGCCCTAGTATACTCTTATTTATTTATTTTAGGTTCACTAAATTTATTTTAAAAATCATAAAATGTTTCTTACAGAAAAGCATTGCATTGTCACACTTCTCTGAATAGAGTGCCAGGGACATTTGTATTATTGTTATTACTCTTTCTCCCTGTTCTAACCCCCCAAATTGTTTACAGTGATCACAGAAGCAAGGTGTTCACAATAACTACATGGGGGGATTTTTTTTTTAAACCACCAACAATGAACAAGAAATAAAATTCACTTACTCTACTGCTGTTTCAAATTTTCAATGTTAGTTTTTGCACGTCCTTCCCCCACCCACCCTGTTTGTAAGGAATTAAAACATTACATCTGGTGAACAGCAAAGATTTCACTACACCTCAAATGCAGAACACCTATGAAGCAGAGGAATGTTGGCTTTTTAAACAGAAGCAGATAAAAAAAAAGATGCAGGACTCCTTCAGTTCATCACTAGCATTAGAAAAACTTTCCAGAATACTGCTTCACACTATAAAAAAGAAAAAAAACATCTTGCATTAGAATCCTTCAACATCTGCATACTGCTTCACACTGTTCTGCAGCAAATACTGTGCGTTCTGTATCTGGTCCTGTGTTCCTGTAATGGTAACGATCTGATCTTAGGACCCTTCTAATGGTTTAACAGTTTTGATTGAAGCTTCAGACTCATGCCGAATTTGTTTAATCCACTGACCACCTTTGCCAATAATAGATCCAGGCAAATCTTTGGGAATAGTTACTTGTGTAGTAATAATAGGTCCACCAAGATCACCGTACGAGCCACGACCCCTTGCATAGGAATAATCATATCCACAGCCACCCGTGGTTCATAAGCCATCTGCCACTCTGACGGGCTCCATGTATCTATTGCAGAGCCCCAGGTTTCATCTGCATTGAAGCCAACCATGCCATCATAGTGGTCTCCTGGTCTCCCTCTTCTGTCATAAGCCATTAGATCTCCTACTCTAGGTGGTGGTGGTGGAGGAAGCAGAAGTTTCCGAGCTCTGCTACCACCCTGGCCACCTTGTCCAGGAGGTGGTGGAGGAGGTCCTGGTCGAGGACTCATATCGTCATTATCTCTTCTGGATGGAGGCATTGGCCGCCCACCCCAACCAGGAGGCATTCTATCAAAACCACCTCTTCCTTGAATGGGAAATCCCACAGGTCGTCCACGTCGGTCATCGAACATCATTGTAAAACCACCATATCATAGGTTTCATCATAAAAATTGGGATCGTAAGGCTGTGCATGTCCTTAGATGGGTGACTCAGATATGAGATCAAGGATGATCTTTATGTGCTCTACAACTCTATCAGGTTTTCCTCCAATAAAAATGACTCTGTCAGTGGAATGTGGACAGCATTTCTGGAAAAGCTTGATTGTTGTCTGAGTGTTCTCTCAAAGTTCTTTGATTTTAGCACCTTTGACCCCAATAATTCCTCTGGCCAGACTCTGATGAATCAACAGCCTCAACTCGCAGTCAAAGTCGCTTCCTTTGTAGTGTTGGTAATTTAAGCATTCCACAGTACCAGATTCGAGCGGGAGCTGGCTAGTTGCAGTGGGTGATGGCAACTGCAGGCCCTCTTCTAAGGTAGGGATGATTTTCTTCAGAATTTCTCCAATTGTTTCAATATCAGCACTAATACTCAATATGCACTCGGGGCCACTGCTGTCTGGGACTGAAACCCTGGCATTGTAGTCTGTGCGAAGAGCCTTAATATTCTTGCCTCCTTTCCCAATCACGGCCCCAGCATTCTTGCTCTGAAGCAGAATATACAACAGCTCAACCATCTCATCAGTGTTCCTGGATCTTTTGAATGCTTGTTCCTCTTCCATATCTTCTGCAGGGCATTTACCAAATTCACCATTGGTTTCAGTGTTGGGTAAGGTTTCTTCTGGCTGTTCAGGTTCCATTTTCTTGTATTAAATGGGCACTCTGACCAGTTATTATATATCCTTGCAGAGCAGAACTGAAGTGTTCTGGGTGGGACCGACAACTGACACCCTAGTGCTGCAGTAGCCTATAGAACACGGACAAGTGGATCGCTCGCAAGACATGGTCGGTGTGGCAGAGAAACACAGGATAATGGTGTCTGTGCAGTCCCTAGTATACGCTTATATAGAGCATTTTCACGCAATGAGGTAGTCTTGAATGATATTTTTACACTGGTTTTGAGAACAGTTTTATCCCTGGTTGAGGAAACCAGTTGGGAGGAACTAAGGCTGCCTAGCCAGTGAAGAGCCCAGGTCTCCCAGATCCTCACCCAGTGCTTTGTTCACTACGCTCAACCAAAGTCTGCACTGATCATCTTATTCCTGCAAAGAAGCACCCCACAAACCCTCATACCTTGGTGTGTAGAGCAAATGACTGTTAGTTCCTGGCTTGCATCTCCAGACCGCCTGACAGGAATCAAAAGCTCCCCAGCATGCTCCTCTACTTTGTATTCTGCCTCTGGAATATAGACTGTTGATTCTAGAAAAGATGGGAGATTTTTTAGCAAGAGTTAAATCGATCAGTGATATTTTAATATATCAGAGCTGAACTCTATACAGCCTTTTGACTTGTATATTTTTAACATACTTAACTATATTATTTTTTAGCATACGTAAGTATATTGGACTTCAAGTGTAAAGCTGTAGTATAAACACTAGACAGCGAACCAAAATGTTGGAAGTTCAAAGCCACCAGCTGCTCCTTGGAAACTCGGTACAAAGTTGCTATGAGTTGAATGGACTAGATGGCACTTAACAACAACTATATTAACTATAAAGAGAATGAGAAATATTCATTATTAAGCTGAACTGGAAAGATAGTGGAATTGGAAAAAGGAGACACCTTTTGAAAGGTTGAAAATTATATTCAGTATTAAAGTAGACAGGAAAATCTTGTAGCAATTCTGTGCCCCCTCCCCCTCCTTTTTTTTTGAGGTAAAATTTTAGGTCTTCTAAAATTTATATTTTACATTTTAAAAACATTTTTCTTTTTTACTGTTTACCTTTTTAATGCTTTTAATAATCAGTAATCGAATTCATAACTGTAGAAGAGTATTTTTTAAACAAACATTTTATTCAACAATTGTTGAACAGATACTATGTGTAAGACTGGTCACAATAAATAATAAATTAATGTGCTGAGAAAAATAAAGCAGTGGATCTTCCTTGTAAAAATATTATTCCTGCTGTGTGTTTGCATATACTTGTGTGTGTCCACACACACACACATTATCAGAATATCCATTGAACTATGAATATGACTATTGGTAATCTCTTGGGGGATAGAATTATGTGTAATATTTTTCTTTGGGTTTTCCAGTATTTCCCAAATATTTTTCAGTAAGCATGCATTGTGTTATTAGAACACACATGTTTGTTTTTAAAATTAAATTTCTAAAGTATGTTGTTTATCCTCATAGGGCCAAGTGAAGATTTAAAGTAGCTATCTGGTTCACATTCAACTGCCTCAATTCCTTACCCTGGCCCCTTTCCCCCCCATATTATATACACAGTAGATTCCTACTCTTGGCAATACAAACAAGAAGGAAAATAATATAGGTGCTCACACTTTCTTCTTTTGGATCTTAAAAATAACATAAAATAGTAATTCAGAATTCAATGATATTATAGCTGTTACTTTTTAGTTTTTGTTTTTCTTTATTTTCCTGTTAAATTAGTTCCAGTGGTAACTGATACCAAGTTTTAGGAAAACAGTGGTATCGTGGTAAGGGGAAACAGGTCAGAGATTTTAGCATCTATTGTCTTCACATATGTCTTAACATCTCTCAGGCCAAACATTTGACATCATGGAAGAAGCTTAAAGTAAATTAAAGTTATCAATGTCAGGTGAAAAAACTAATACAAAAGGACTGACTTGTTTAATCACTTCCTCTTTTCTTTCTACCTGGGAAGTCTGTTTCTTTTCACTCCATTAATCAAAGGTCCAATTACTCTTCTAGACTCAGCTCAAATCCAGTCTGCCTCCTGCATGCTTGTGACCATGTTGAGCTTACCACTTCCTTACCTAATAACTCATCCCATCCTAATAGATTTCTATGTCTAAGCTTTGTTATTGATGAGACTGTTAATTAAGTGGTAGGGGCAGGATTTTCTACTTCTTTTGTACTGCCAAAGTACAGCACACAGAATGCTGCATTTCTCAAACTGTGTTTTAAGGAAACGAGAACTAGGTCTGGGAAGATTATGAGAAGGTGGTGGGCCTGGGATAAATCTAGTCATCTGGATGCAAAGCTGTTCCATATCCAAGGATTGCAGAGGGCTGCTAATGAGGATTTGAATATATACTAAAGGAATGCTGCTCTGTATTTCAATGTCCTGTATTCCTTTTAAAATTTAAGAATAAATGAAAAAAAAAAATTAGTGACTTAAAATTATTTGTTGTTGTTATTGTTGTTAAATAAGGGCTTGTCAGTTCCGACCCATAGTGACCCTGTGTAGGGTTTCCCAGGAGCAGCTGGTTAGTTTGAACTGCCAACCTAGGAGTTCAAATTGGCCCTGTAGTCGAGTGATTATCCTCCAGTGCCACAACAGGACTCCAAGATTATGTGTCATCTCCCTGGAATGAGGCTGCTGGTGGTGGTTATGTGCCGTAGATTCAGTTCCGACTTATGTGGGAACAGAAAGCCTCATCTTTCTCCTGTGGCACAGCTGGTAGTATTGAACTGCTGACCTTGAGGTTATTAGTCTGACTCATAATGACTACACTACTAAAAGTGAGTCTAAAATGATTTACTGGTAGCATAGTGGTTATGAGTTGGGCTGTTAACCTCAAGGTCAGCAGTCCGAAATTTCCAGCTATTCTGTGGGAGAAAGATGAGGCTTTCTGCTCTCGTAAAGATTTACAGGCTCAGAAACTCTATACAGGGTCGCTATGAGTAGGAACCAACTCCATGGGACACAACCACTACCAAATCCTAAGGTGTGGCACTGTAGGATAAGCACTGGACTGCTAACTGCAAGGTTAGTGGTTCAAACCCACCAGCCATTCCTTGGAAACCCTATTCGGAGTTGCTATGAGTTGGAACTGACTTGACAGCATATAACAACAATAAAACCAAAATCCTAAGGAGCCCTGGTGGAGCTGCAGGATAAGCAATGAACTGCAAACCACAAGGTTGGAGGTTTGAGCCTACTAGCCATTCCATGGGAGAAAGATGAGGCTTTCTGCTCCCGTAAGCATTTACAGCCTTGTAAACCTGATCTAGGGTTGCTATGAGCAGGAATTGACTTGGTGGCAGTGGGTTTTTGACTTCAAATCCTAAATAGATATGATGTTATTCTGGTTTACAGAGTTTGAGGGAGTATGAATGACTGAACCGCATCAAGGAATCTGTACTAGCTAATAGATCATATCTGTACTAGCTAATAGGTACCACATACCATCTCTTGGGTCAACAATTTCAACGGTTGCCATTTCCGGAAACTCTAGTGCAGCCATGACAGGATCCGATAGAATGATCTGGAAGGTCTCTGAAGCCTCGTATTTATTGTCAGGGATAATTCTCACTCTCCATGTAGCCGCAGTCTGTCCAGGACTGAACTGGATTAGTTTCTGGACCTTTCCTCTAAAATCTTTATCTTTTTTTGCAGTTTCATCTTTGGTTCCAATGCCTAAATAAAAATCAGAAAACTGTAAATATAAAGCTAAGTGGCTGAAGGAATAGTCTTGTTAAGCGGTTTCTATTGTGGAGTCCTGGTGTGGCACTGTAGGATAAGCACTGGATTCCTAACTGCAAGGCTAGCAGTTCAAACCCACTAGTCACTCCTAGGACACACTATACAGGGTCCCCAAGCATCAGAATTGCCTTGACGGCATTTAACAATATTGTTGATAAGGAATAGATAACATAGAAATTACTTCTTTTAGTACTCCCAAAAGATGCTTATAAACTACACGTATTGACTTGTTTTAGTGTCATCGAGTCAGTTCTGACTCATAGTGACTCTGTATAGGGTTTCCAAGGAGTGCTGGTGGGTTTGAACCACTGACCTTGTGGTTAGCAGCTCAGTGCTGATTCTATAGTGTCATACTAGGACTCCTCTTATTGACTGTTGTTGTTGTTGTTAAGTACCAATGAGTTGGTTCTGACCCACAGTGACCCAATATTGGATTTCTGAGGAGCAGCTGGTGAGCCTGAACTGCTGACATTGCAGTTCAAAGAGACTTTGCAGTCTAGTGCATTAACCCACATTGCCACACCAGGACTCCCCTTATTGACTAAGAGAGTGTAAATAAATAGAAGCCCACTGAGGTGAGAAGAAAGGATGAAACGGAGAATGACAGAAGAGAGATATTTTTGATTATGCTATCAAATAAGAAAGGAGGGAACAGAGAAGGGAGAAAACAGAGAATAGTCATTAATCTATGTGTTACTATAACAAATATTTATTGAAGGCCTCTGATAAGCTAAACTCTGCCAGGTGTTGGGGATTCAAAGATGAGTAAGAAACTGTCCCAGCCACCCCACCCCAATCATCATCTAAAGAAGAGGACACTGGATATAAAGTCAATTGTTGTTATAAGTGCCACTGGGTCAGTACTTCTGACTCACAGTGACCCTGTATAGAGTTTCTGAGGAGTCCAGTGCTTATCTGAACCAGGACTCCATAAAGTCAATAGAAGCCGAGGTTTGGGGCTGTTTTATGAATTCCTGATATTTAGGACAGTAGCTGACACACGGTAGTTATTCACTGAATCTTTGTTGAGTGAATATTTTGTATTTGATCATTAGTGTTTCTGATATCTTAAGGAGAATGACTCTGCAGCTTGTTTCCTGAGGCAAATCCTCACTCATGGTAACTTGTTAAATTACTTGTTTAGTAATTTTTTATTGTGAAAAAATTGCTAGCAATTTTATAGACAAGTTGGGCAGTGTCAGTGAAAATGATGAGGCGGGGATAGATTTGTGATCTGTAGCAAACAAAGTTAATGAAGAGCATGAAGAACAGCATTAAAAATACCCATTGTGAGTTATAAGGGTGAAAGGGCTTATTCCATCTAGACCGAATAGGTTCTTCCTCACCTGAAAAATTCCAAGCTGTATTCTAGTGTTGTTCAGTTTTGAATTTAACTTCCCAGTAAAGACCTTATGAAGCTAGAATACCTGTGCTTCACCAATTCAGGTCTCATTTAGACTCTTTAGTTGTTCAACTGTATGAAATAAGATATTCTGATCTACCATCAGCTATTATGGAAAACTTCATCTAAAATGAGATTATGAATTCCTTGTGCTCAGTCCATCTCAGAGAACCTGATGCCTTGTAAACAATATCTAAAGTTGTAATATGAGAAAATAATTTCAAAAGTAAGATAGTTGATGTTGACTTTTCAAACTCTCTACAAAAGCCCATATTAATCCTAGTTTGCTAACAGAATGAATATCTGCTATGCAGAGAAAGCCTCACGCCGCATGTTAAGAATTCTTGGTGGCACATTAATTAAAGCTGCTAACCAAAAGATTGGAGTTCTGGTGTGGCGCTGTGGGTTAATGCAGCAGACTGCAAAGTCATTTGAACTTCAAAGTTGGCTCACCAGTCGCTCCTTGGAAAACCCATACAGGGTCACTATGGGTCGGAAATGGCTTGATGGCACTTAACAATAGCAACAAATAGGGTCACTGGGACTTTTGGGTGGTGCTGTAGGATCCGCACTGGACTGTGAACCACTGGACTACAGTTCAAACTCACCCTATACAGGGCTGCTTTGAGTCGGAAGTACTGATTTGATGGCACTTAACAACAACATACATCATTGGAGTCCTGGTGTGGCAATGGACTGCTAACCACAAAGTTAGTAATGCAAATCTACCAGTCATTCCTCAGAACCCCTACATAGGGTTGGAACCTACTTGACAGTATTTAACAACAAATCAATTCGATGGCAGTGAGGGCTACTTTATTTTGGGAGACCATATTGAATACATAAACATTGATATTTTAGGCATTAGTGAGCTGAAATGGACTGGTATTGGCCATTTTGAATCTGACAACCACATGGTTTACTATGCTGGGAATGACAAATTGAAGAGGGATGGTGTTGTATTCATTGTCAAAAAGAACATATCCAGATCAGTCATGAGGTACAATGCTGTAAGTGATAGGATAATATCCATGTGCCTACATGGAAGCCCAGTTAATACCACTATTATTCAAATTTATGCACCAACCACT